GAGTAGACGGAATATGTTTGCGAATTCTTTGAATAATGTGGACCAAAGTTATAATTATTGGTAACTGCCAGTTGTCTGTGGTCTGTGTTTGCCGTGATTAGGACCCCATCGTGGGGGATCGACTTATGTTCGAACCATACCTTTTTGACACTGATTTTAAGGGTCAAGTTTGGGGGTCGGTTTATCGATGGGGTCGTCTTATAGACGGTCATATACGGTACTACTTATATAATATACAGTAAATTAAAAAGGTATTTCACAAAAATGTTTAAAATCTTGTTAAGTGCTTAATCTGTAATGTAATGACCAGCAAGATTGATGTTTGTTAGAGTTATCAAGTTCAAAATCATCGATCCTCGACATTATTGCTGAAACACTTTTCTTTTTCTTAGATATATGGTGTGTTGGAAAACTACACAAATTTACCGGGAAGTGTCTGTTTAGACTGAAACAATATGTTAATGATTGATTTATTGTTCTTGATAATAAGGAAGGAAACTGAAAGAAAATCTTCCCAAATTAAATTGTGGGGTTAATGAATCATCATAACAGCATTGTGCTCTTTACAGTGTGCCAGCAATCCAAACCAAATTGGTTGGAATATTGAGGTTTCCAGATTGGTGAGGTCAGTGTTTCTTTTGCTTTGTGAAACTTAAATAAGCAGAAGAATTGGTTGGAATATTGAAGTTTCCAGATTTATGAGGTCTGTGTATCTGTTGCTTTGTGAAATGTAGAATAGCAGAAGAATTGGTTGGAATATTGAAGTTTCCAGATTTATGAGGTCTATGTATCTGTTGCTTTGTGAAATGTAGAATAGCAGAAGAATTGGTTGGAATGTTGGGGCTTGTTGATTATCGAGGTCGGTGTATCTGTTGCTTTCTGAAACCTAGATTAGAGTGAGAGAGTGAGTTGGGTTTTAGGCCGCTTTTGGCAATATTCCAGCAACATCATAGCGGGGAACACCAGAAATGGGCTTTACACGTTGTACCCATGTGGGGAATCGAACCCGGGCCTTCGGGATGACGAGCGAATGCTTTAACCGCTAGGCTACCCCACCACCCACCTAGATTAGAAGGTCCATGGTCCAATCCGCATCTGTATCATACCAAGTGACCTTCAAAGATGGTACTTCTTGTTACCTTGTCTCAGCTGTAAGGGAATACAGCATGGACTGGTTTGCTCTGAATATATAGTGTGGGTTTTTCATGTGAAAGGCACAATTTCACACATTTTTTACAATATTTTGGCCTATATTATATATATTGGGGCATATGCACTCACTTTGGCTTCCTATTGATGAAATAGAAGACTTATTATCCCTGATGACTTGCCTGAAATCTATAATTGAAACTTCAAGATGATCAGCATCCAAACAGAGAACACTTGCCATACAATTGCTCTGTACATCGAAAACTGTCACACATGATGTTGTCGGTGTTTGCCAAACTGGTTTCAATCAGAAGTTGCGTGTGTGTTTTGTAGGACTAAGTTCTGTCTCCAGAGGGTTTATAGGATATTCGTAAATAACACTCCAAAGGTCATTACTCTATGGGGTTCGCTTGAAATAATGTTCAGCTGGTAGAGGGCAACGTTGCATTAATTCATTCGAACTTTTAAATTTAATATTGTGATCTAAATACATAAATATTTTGGGATAAATTATATGGTAGCTTCCCCGAGGGCTGGTACTTAGTATTATTGAGAGAAATGCATTATATTTTTAGAGACCCATAAAGATCTTCAGTAACCCATGCTTGTCGTAAGAGGTGACTAACGGGATAGGGTGGTCAGGCTCACTGACTTGGTTGACACATATCATCGGTTCCCAATTGTGTAGATCGATGCTCATGCTGTTGATCACTGGATTGTGTGGTCCAGACTCAATTATTTACAGACCGTCGCCATATAGCTGGAATATTGCTGAGTGTGGCGTAAAACTAAACTTACTCACCCAGTCACTGTATTTTTAGAGAAGTGTGGTTTGAAATAGTGCCTTCAAGCACTGTCATTGTATCTGAGTCAGCTAGTGCTAAAAACTGCATGATTCCCACCTTATATAAGCAGTAGGTTCTTACATAAAGGCAATAAAGTTTAATGGGATGTTAAAACGCTCTTCATCTCACCGTGCTTGCCATAACAAGGCGACTATCTTGTCGTAAGAGGCGACTAACGGGATCGGGTGGTCAGTTTCGCTGACTTGGTTGACTAATGTCATCGGTTCCCAATTACGCAGATCGATGCTCATGCTGTTGATCACTGGATTGTCTGGTCCAGACTCGATTATTTACAGACCGCCGCCATATAGCTGGAATATTGCTGAGTGCGGCGTAAAACTAAACTTCATCTCACCTCATAAACTTGGTTGTATGATGAGTCAGCAATTTAGTTTATTATATTCTCCTATGCTGTGTTCTCTTCTTTTCTTTTTATGTTTTGAGAATGTCCATACAAATAACCATTTGCTACAAAGTTTTACAAACCGAAAATGTCCGACAGTGAGAAACCCCAGTCAGTTGACCTTGATTTTCATTCACGACATCTTATCAGTAACTCAACTTGTCGCAGGTGGAAGTTATCAACTTGAATGTTGTAAAACGATTGCTACCGGAAACCAGTATAAAGAAAAGTCAACTTTGATGACCTTATTATCAAACAACGGGGAAAATATATGCTGCAGAAGAAGAAAAAATCATGGCAGCCATCATGATATACTCTGCAAAAAAAGAAACTTACAAGTGGAAAAATTAGAAACAGGTGACGAGTTCTGATGATAGTCTTACAAAATGAATAACAAATATGTATTTCTGATGTCTTCATACATTGGGAAGGATTTGTGTTGATAGAAAAAAGTATGGCCCCAAAATAACAAAAATAATTGGGAAACGAAAAAAGCGACCACTTGCAATTGGGACCAAAGCAACCAAACACACCAACATAAAATGAATGTGCAAATGAATTGTTGTACTTAGAGAATTGAAAACCCATCATTTTCAGTCATCACAATTGTACAGCAAGTGAGAAGTGAAAACATGTCATGATATGTACATGAAATGTATCAAAAACCTCTGCAGACAAGTAAATACTAAAATTAGTTTGGTCTTGACTAAATTGATTAAAAGCAAGAAGCCAACTTTAATGACATGCTGGTAGTTGTGCTGACTCAACAAATATCAGTCATACTTGGTTAATGAGTTGTTGTATATCGGCATGTATAAGGCAAGTTGTTCATGCCTAGGATTAGAGGGTTTGAAGGGAGGTCACCTTATGCATGGGGTGGTAAATCTAATTTTATTTCCAGCTGTATCACTTTCAGGTTGCACTGGCATGGTCAACTGGCAACAGCAGCCATTGGTGTCTGACAGTAGAACTTAGCATTTTGGGCCTTAGGATACAGCACCAAAGACTTTAAAAATACGCCATAATACCCTTTAACTTAATGTGATTTTGTTACAAAGCGCGTTCTTCAAACCAAGCCCTATGACACCGGCATAGCATCAAGGTTGTCTAGCTCAGCGAGTGCGTATAAGCTCCGTTCATTGATGTTACATGTGTGCTAGCTATGGCATTGAATAAGCCCAGCGATGTTGAGAGTTTACAGTTGTTCAATCCGCAATTTATGGCAAGCACCAGTTTATGAAAGCACTTTATTTTAAATATATTTTGTTTCGCTTTCAACATATTTTTTAGGACTAAATGAATTATAAATGGGAACTAATATACATACAGTTTAGCGTTTAGCTCGAAGCGGGGGATATAGTATTAGGCTCCGTCCGTACGAATTAGAATATCTTGAGAACTGTTGACTAGATTCTTTTCATATTTGGTACCTAGGTTCATCACAGTATAAGAAAGCTCCCAGTCGGGTTTGGTGACCTTGACCTTCATTTCAAGGTCACTAGGGGACTTTAACGTTTTACTCTTGTGAGCAAGATATCTCTAGAACCACTCACTGGATTGTCTTCATATTCAACACCATGCTTTATCTAGGGAAGGCGCATGATCTAGTCGATTCTGGTGACCTTCACATAATTTTCAAGGTCACAGCGACACTTTGAAGATTTCATCATGTTGACCTGAAGATTAAGCTTGTCAGCGAGATACCTCAAGAACGGTTTCATTGCAAGGATTGGCAAATACAGGCATCAATAATTATTCAGTCAAACAACATGGTGTTGAGGTCGATTGGACTCACTCACTCGCTCTCGTGTCCCCTGCTGTGATATTGCTGGAATATTGTTAAAGCAGAGTAAAACCATACTAATTCCCTTATTATTACACTGTAAAAACACAACATCTTGAACACTGGGGAAAATAAGGAAATCGTGAACACGCTTACTGCATGAATTCATATAGATGTGTATTTTAGATAACTAGGATGATGATGAATACTACAGGAATGGAGATAAGTCACTACAACTAGGAAGGAGATACATGTATGTACAACTAGGAAGGAGATATGTCTTGGTGATGCGCAGTGGAAAATAAAACGATTGGGCAGAGCTATGCAAATTAACTAATTCCTAATCAACTAAAATTTCGAACTTACCTTTTGGCCTAAAACAAGGAACTAAACGTGATAACTATTATAAGTGAGAAAACTATGAAATTTACAAAGAACTAAACGTGATTCTCTTAAGTGATTCTAAATGAACTTTGAGATGAAACGAACTGCTAAATACCGCTAATTTTGAAACTACACATCTAACATCTGAGTCATTCGTAATTCTAAATAAATGCCAACACACGACATGTAACGAACAACACCGAATGGCAGAAAGGAGCGAATGCGCCGTGTATCGCTGATCACCGTCTTATATATACAAAACCTACTCGTTTTTCCCGTGCATTTCACCGGGTGTGTTCGGGTGATACGCCTAGTATGCACTGAGTGCGTTTGAGAGAGCAGTTTCAGTGATAAAACCAAAATGCCTTCAGACCACTTGGTAATCAGGGATATAGAAGCTTGCATTACTGACATTTGTTTCTTATTGTGATTCCAGGAACATGGCCCACAGCAGATGACCTCAGACCGACTGTGAGAACGTCCGCACCATGTCATTTAAGTCCAATAGGTCTGTACCAATCTGTGCTGTATCATTCATATTACAGTAAAATACCTGTATAATGAACTCCAAGGGACTACTGAAATTAGTTCGTTATATCCGTAGTTTGCTATTCACTTTTTTATATGTTTTATATGTTTTTTATACTTTTAAAACAGTTCGCTATAGCCGATGTTCATTATACCCATGTTCATTATAAAAGTATTCTACTGTACTTAATTTCAGACTCACGGGCAAAACAGAAGTGCTTATCCTTTATTTGATTGGGCATAAAGCTGTCTAAGTTTGTTTATTTTGAGAGTAAACAGTCATATGTTCATAGGAGTAGACAGTTGTAAATTATGTGAAGTAGAGGGTATGTGCAGCAACAAGGATATGTTGCTACCGAAGAAGGGTTGTATCTTTTACTTTGCAGAAGCCTGGTCCTTGACAACATGGCAGTTTTTTGTACAGTGTTACCTCCCTTAGGCATGCCAAAAAGTGTATGATAGTGAGTTCAAATCCCAGTTCACCCTGATTGTTTGTTGGTTTGTTGGCAGCATTTACACCATGCTTTATGCTTTCTCCCACAAGCTGTCATGTGGTTGGGTAGCCTACTGGTTAAAGCGTTCGCTCATCATGCCAAAGACCCGGGTACGATTCCCCACATGGGTACAAAGTATGAAGCCCATTTCTGGTGTCCCCTGCTGTGATATTGCTGGAATATTGCTAAAAGCGGCGTAAAACTCACTCACTCACTGTCATGCTGGAATATTGCATGGTTCTATGTTGAACCCAATTCACTCTTTCACACCATAACTGCAACAGGTGAATGTGTCGACTCCTGAGAGTTTCTATGGCGTCAGACCTGCCTTACACGACCCATGAAGACCCGGGTTAGAATTTATCTTCAGCAACCCATGCTTGTTGTAAGAGATGCCTAATGGGATCAGGTGGTCAGACTTTCTGACTTGGTTGACACATGTCATCGTATCCCGATTGCGTAGATTAATGCTGACAATGTAGATCACTGGATCGTCTGGTGCAGAATCGATTATTTACAGACTGCAGCCATAAAGCTGGAATATTGCTGAGTGCGGCCTTAAACAAAAAACAAACAAATCTGCCCTACATTTAAAGACATGCGCACACCATTTGTTGTCTTAGCAATAAATGGGTACCCGATAGGAAGAGAAGGTATACTCCTCAGGTAACTGAGAATGAAAGAAATACCACAATAAATATGCATGTTAAATACTCATCAGATCAGTGTACAGCTCCCTCACTAAGTTCCATTTGTTCATGTTATTTAGGGTGTAGGGATAGCCTAGTGGTGAAAGCATTCATTCATCACGCCGAAGAACCCGATTCCCCACATGGGTACTAAGTGTGTGAAGCCCATTTCTGGTGTCCCCTGCCATGATATTGCTGGAATATTACTAAAAGCAACATAAAACCATACTCACTCGCTCACTCATGTTTTTTAATATTTATTTCAGGTTTGATCCCTTTAAAGTATTTGAGGTAGGTACAAAGGTTTCAAACTTGTTGATGACCTCTAATTTGTAGTTGACCCAGTCTGCGGGCCACTCATCACCTAAAGATAGTTAGTTATTGTCCCCCGCCGTGCATTTAGCGCGAAACAGGGGATATAGTATTAGGCTCCGTCCATCCGTCCGTCCATCTGTACATACGTATATATGTATGAACGAACGAACGTACATCCATACATATGTACGAACGACTGAACGTACTAATTGGAATATCTTAAGAACCGTTGACTAGATTCTTTTCATATTTGGTAACTAGGTTCATAACAGCGTGTGAAAGGTCTCAGTCAGGTTTGGTGACCTTGACCTTCATTTCAAGGTCACAAGGGGACTTTAACGTTTTACCCTTGTCAGCGAGATATCTCAAGAACCGTTCTCTGGATTTTCTTCATATTTGACACCAAGCTTCATCTAGGGAAGTGCAGGGCCCAGTCGATTTAGGTGACCTTCACATAATTTTGAAGGTCACAGCGACATTTTGAACACTTCAGCATGTTAACCTGCATGTTAAGCTTGTCAGTGAGATACCTCCAGAACAGTTCACTGGATTTTCTTCATAGACTTTCAAGATTTCTCTTGAATGTTTTTGATAAGCAATTTCTTTATGACTATTTTTGCATGTTTCATACACCATGACATTCATGTCAAGGTCAAAGTGCGTCTTGAAAATATTTGTGTGTTTGAACAGCTACAGAGCAAGATATCAAGAGAGGTTGACTGGTCATGTTTTTGTTGACATTTAACTTCATCTTAAACTATGACCTTCACTTTCAATACTTTTAAAGTTTGATTTGATAATTTGCGGCGGGGGAATGTGTCACCTAAGTGACAACTGCTTGTTTATATTTGCGTTTTGAGTAACTGTTGATGAATGGGAACACAGATGGACCATTTATTTACTCATGTTTAGCATTATTGCTTTTTGATCAGTTTGCGATATAAAAACAAATCAAGTTTCTGTTTCCCTTAATTAGTTTTACAGATGTGGCCATTGCACATATTCTGTGACAATATATGGTAAAACAACTTGTTTGTGAAAACCTTAAATCATTTCATGTCTGTGTTTGGCTGTTTTTGTGTTTTTGTTTGCTACTGCTTTGAAGTCATTGTTCCTTAAAAAGAAAAATACTATATAAAGCAACTCTTGTTATTTATAGCAATGTGGACATTATTAAAATTAAATTAACGTTTGAGATCCTGCTACAGAAATTAACAGGATATATTTCTGTGAAAATGTAACAGTGTATACATGACAGTGTAAACGGAGTGTCATGAGAAGTAGATACTTTCAGGGATATATTTTTTAAATATTTTAGTTAATATTTTTTGTTACCAAAACTGACTGAATGTTTATGGATACTAGTACATACACGGTAAGGTTCAGAGTGAGCATCAAAGTATATTTTCTTGACTATGGACAAATTCCAATGATTGTGAAGAATGGAATGTATCTACTGCAGTGATTGTAAGTTTGGCTTAGTCTGTGGTTGTTTATGTTTCCAGGTTCATCACAAGCCTTGCACTATCCTCACCATCCATGTGGGCCAAGGATACAACATCACCAAAGGATGGGCTAAAGATCTGGGTCAGTCACCATGTGTAGTGCATCAATACCAGCCTTGTGCATTGTCAGTGTGTTGTAAGCTGTCACTGTCAGCGTTGTACGCTGTCACTGTTGGTCTTGTACACTGTCACTGTTGGCTTTGTACGCTGTTGCTGTCGGCTTTGTACGCGGTTGCTGTCAGCTTTGTATGCGGTTGCTGTCAGTGTTGTCCACTGTCTCTGTCAGCTCTGTACACTGTCACTGTTGGCATTGTATGCTGTTGCTCTCGGTGTTGTACGCTGTCACTGTCGGCGCTGTACGCTGTCACTGTCAGCGTTTTACACTTTGGTGTCGGTTTTGTATGCTATGTGTTATACATAGACTGTTAAAAGTTCATGAATTCATGGCAAAAAAACAGTGGTGGAAAGTTCTCACTGTGGAAATTTCCATGCATTTCTGTTTATTTAATGTAAAAAAAGAAAGAGAAACAATTTAACTTTGAATCAAAGGGAAAATTACCATTTACACGCATGATCATACCTATGTATGTACTTACTACACTATACTACCACTATACAACACACAATAGATGAAGATGTTTCTGTCCCTAGAAGTTTTATTTCCAATTTTGAAGGATAGGATACTGAAATGAATGTAACAAAGCTTTAAATTAACAGGTTGTATTTACATTGTCGTCAAGCTTATTGAACACCTGAGTATTGTAAAGTGTGCCTTTCTCTACAGTGGACACACCTGATCCGTACATCGTCCTGTCGATCAAGACGTCTCCCTCAGGATGGCAGAAGACCACTGTGAAGGACAATGACATCAACCCAGTCTGGAATGAAACCTTCACGTTCTTCCTGGACCCGTCGCTGGAGAATGAACTGGGTAGGGGTGATTTCTTTGTTCTTTGAAGTCGGACACAGCAATATTGTAGCGATATGATGTCAATCTGTACCTAGTTAATTATTGAGCAGACAGTCTAGTGATTGATGTCATGAGCATCAACATATGCGATTGTATAAAATTTGTGAACCATGTCAGTGAGCTGCCCTTAGACCTCATTAGTAGCCTCTAAACAAAGCCTGATTGGGGGGTAGCCCTAGTGGTTAAAGCGTTGGCAAAAACCATGAGTAGATTCCCCAAGACAATGTGTAACCCATTTCTGGTGTCCCCATTTATTGCTGGAATATTGCTAAAGCTCTAAAAACTAAACTCAGTCAGAGTCTAAACAAAAACATGAGTAGTTGAAGACTTTAACCCACTGCCCGTTTCACAAAGCTCTCGATCTAAGTAACTTTTCACTGTAGCAATCGACTTACTGTAGCATAGAGTCGAACAGTCGCGCTATGATTGATAGCTTTGTGAAACGGGGCCCAGGTCTTTACTGGGGTGATGTAGTGGTGGTAGTTTGGGTTGTGGTAGCAGCAGTGATTTTCTCATTAGTAGTGGATGTTGCTATACTAGGAGTTGTAGTGGTAGTGGTAGTGGTAGTAGTAGTAGTATTTGTAGTAGTCGTCATCGTCATCGTAATACTAGTAGTAATAGTAGTTGTAGAAGTATGCGTATTAGTAGTAGTGGTATTGCCGGTGGTAGTAGTGGTGGTAGTAGTGGTGGTAGTAGTAGTAGTAGTAGTAGTGGTAGTAGTAGTAGTAGTAGTAGTAGTAGTAGTAGTAGTGGTAGTGGTAGTAGTAGTAGTACCGTAGTGTTTATTATAGCAGTAGTGCCAGTAGTAGTATTTGTAGTAGTAGTAGTATTGGTAGTGGTAGTAGTAGTTGAGGTAGTGGTACTGCCAGTAGTAGTATTTGTAGAAGTAAATCTTGATGCCTCTTGGAACAAGCATTGGATGTTGTTGCTGTTTGTTGTGCAGAGTTATGTCCCTTGGACAGGCCTGAAACCTCAGATGATGAATTCAGATCCTGGTCCATGTTTCACACTTGTCAGGTTGATCACAGTAACCAGTTTCATCAAGGGGTAAACTGAAACCTGCATCCCTTCACAGGGCTCGATTTAGTACTTTGTTACTTGCACCGGTGCAACCCAAATATTACACAGTGCAATGTTGCTATTAGCTGAGCTTGCACCTGGTGCAACTCAATTTTTGAGTGGGTAACTCTCAATAAAACATCTAAATAATTCAATACCATATTTCTTACATTACATCTTGCAATAAAAGCAGTGCAACTGGAATTTGGCTGGTGCAACTAGGTTTTATCTTAGGTTGCACCTGGTGCAAGTAGGTTAACATCTCTTAAATCGAGCCCTGCTTCAGGCTTTATTCTCACATCAAGTTGCCATGCCATGATACGGTTGGAAGACTATACATAACAGCTCACTTAGATGGTGTATATATCATACTGTAACTTCTTCTTCAGAAATCAGTTTGATGGATGCCAACTACGTGGTAGACGAGCACCTGTGCACCAAGCACCTGCCCCTTAAGCCTCTTCCCCTGGACAAGACTGTGAAACATAGACTCAGGTTCAATGATGTAAGTATGTTTTGTAGTTCTTGAAAGGCATTTAGAAGTTAAAAGAACATGAATACATGACACTTAGTCAAATAAAAAGAAGTTGTTATCCATAAAAACGTGTCATGTATTCGCATTGTTTATGTGTCTAGATGGAAGCTGAAAACAGGTCATCATACAATATATTATTTTTTATGCCCCTGCCATATATGGCTGGGGGCATATAGGGTTACCCTGTGTCCGTCGTACCGTCCGTACGAAACAGGGAAAGTACTCTATGCACTTCTCCACAAAAAACGCTCTGTGGAATTCAATGAACTTATACATGGGCTTTCTTGGGACTCTAATGGTGTGCATCTCATATTTTGTTTTTGTATGTTATTGGGTTTTTTGTAAGTTTAGAGACATTTGAACTTAGGTACATTTTGCTGAATTTCTCTATGATGATAGTGCAATAGGGGATGAAGTCTATCCACTTCTCCACAAAACTGCTCAACAGAATTGAATGAACTTCTACATGTCTTTTGTAGGGACTCTAAAGGTGTGCATTTCCTAATTTTTTATGCAATTTCTTAATTTTGTCACTTTTACAGATGTTTGAACTTAGTTGAATTTTGTTCTATTCAGTCTGTTCGTTCCATCCAACAGGGGGGTGTATGTTATCCACTTCTCTTCTAAAACTACTTTATGGAATTCATTTAGATTACACATGTGCTTTACAGGGAGTCTAAAGGCGTGCATCTCATATTTTGATTTTGTATTTTATTTATTTTTCCAATTTTAATGCCGTTTGAGCTTACATAAATTTTGTTGAATTTCTCTCTGAATATAGTGTTATAGGGGATGAAGTCTATCCACTTCTCCACAAAAGCTGCTCAACAGAATTGATTGAGCTTCTACGTGTGTTTCATTGGGACTCTAAAGGTGTGCATCTGATACCTTGTTCATCCATTTTCTTAATTTTGTCACTTCTACAGATGTTTGAACTTAGTTGAATTTGGTTCTTTTCATCCTGTTCGTCCCATACAACAGGGTGTGTACTTTATCCACTTCTCCTCAAAAACCACTGCACAAAACTCATTTAGCTTACATATGTCTTTTATAGACTCTGAAGGTGTGCATCTCATATTTTGTTTTTGTATTTTATAGTTTTTTGTATGTTTAGAGACATTTGAACTTAGATAAATTTTGTTGAATTTCTCTCTGATGATAGTGAAATAGGGGATTAAGTCTATCCACTTCTCCACAAAAAACTGCTCAACAGAATTGATTAAGCTTATGCATGTCTTTCTTTGGGACTCGAAAGGTGTGCATCTCATAGTTGCATAGATGTTTATTCAACTTGTTTGTGAATTTAAATTAATCACCAGAGCACACTCAGTGTAGGGAACTCTTCCTACAGCAGCGGGGGCATCCAAGTCCCTGGACACAATTTTTTCTTGTTTATTATTATTATTGGATATTTATATAGCGCACATATCCACGCAACTGGTACATGCTCAAGGCGCTGGTATTTTTTCCCTCGGTCATTGGATGTCAATCTCAACTCCCTGGGGAACATACAACTCTTGCAGCCATTAGGTGCACCAAGTTATTGAGGCTTTCTCATCCTTACAAGGTACCCATTCACAGCTGGGTGGACTGGGACACATAGTCACAGTACTTTGTCCAAGTTTACTGCATGTTGCTGTATCCGCAACTAGGTGTTTGCACGTATTCATGTGGCCACCATCTGATCATATACCAACGGATTCGTGGGTTCTTTTAAGTGCACATGGTTGTGTACTGTACACTAGGGGTTGTGACAACACTGAAAGAGTCTGCACACAAAGTTGACTCCAAGGTTTTTACACCCACTCACAGGTGGGCTTGATCCCGACACCTCAAGCTTGCTGGATCACTAGCCTGGCGCTTAAGCCAGCCCGTCCACCATGGCCATGATTACTCTGTGGCTATTAGATACATCTAGTAATAATTATTCATGGCAGGCAAATCAGGACAAGATCCTATTTGTTCATTATTGGGTTTTACAGTTTTATCTCTGCATTGTTTGAAATTCAGAGGTATTTTAACTGCCTCCATATTTTTTTTACAGACATCCGAAGTGGAAATTCAGATGGAGGCTAGTGTAGAGTGAGTATTGAAGGCAGTGGGAAAAAAATGTGTCCTCTAGTTTTCCTTATTAGTTCATTTTCTTTTCTTTTTCTTTTTTCATGAATATTTGTCTTCTTACGATGATAAGGGAATTTTCCAAGGCCAACAAATCCTGAACTGTTGAAGTTACTGAAATAGTGTAGTGAAATAGTGAACCTCCTTTGTCCGGAAACCTTGTAATCCAGACATTATGCATATTTAAATGGGGTTTCGGGGGAGGAAGGGGGGTTGAAGGGGTTTGCCCCACTTTGATGACTATGGAAAGTTGGTATTTACAATTATGGGTTTGAATCCATATTTGCTCTGACTCAGGTTCTAGGTTTCCAGCACCATACGAAATTGGTAAAAGTGTTAGACTTGTACAACTTTCTTCCCACATTAAGCTGAAATGCCATGATATAACTCAAATACTGTTGAAAGCTGCATTGACTGAATGTTATTTACTGACTAACTCCTACATTCCATATTGTAGCTATGACCCCAAGCTGAACTACAGCCTGGCACTGTGTGATGAGGAAAAACAGTTCATGGAGACAAGGAAAAGGAGGATCTTTGACTCTATGAGGGACTTACTCAAAGAGAGTGGCCCCCGGAATCTCCGAGAGGTAGGACCCTCACACATATCCTGAAATACATTGATGAATTGACTGTAGTTTACCCCCATGTGAAGGTACAGTTGTCAGCTTCCCCAATCGACATTTCCAAAGTCTATTTCACAAAGATTGTTGAAATTTCTGATTAATCTTCCATGATCATCACATTATCACTGTACTACTGTACCTTAGGAAATCTTTTTGCTTTTGTCCTCAAAAGGTCAAGGTCATGAAATAGAAAGCAAGCACAAAATGGTGTTGTTACACTGTGATTTTCAGAAAGTTTTCATTTCTTGATAAATTTGATATGTACCATCTTCGGAACTGTTGGCGGTTAGGTAGCCATGTGGTAAACGTGTTTACTGAGTTCAGTTCCCCACCATGATATTGCAGGAACTTAAAATACATACTTTACTTGGTTTCTTGGTTTGGGCTCTGCTTTGGAAAGGTTTTGGTAAAAATTTGGTAAAAAATACAGTGAATCAGCAAGTTTTCGTAAAACCTGATCATAAAACGTATGTTACATATTGAGCACTTTCTAAGTGGCATTATGTATTCATAGCCTCGGACGTGGGAGCCGTGCCAATTTGCACTCATCAGAGAGGTATACAAAGTCTGTGGTCTAGACTACCAGTTGTCTGACTTCCATTTTTGTGGAAGCCGCAGTGGCTGAGCGGGTTAGGCGGCTGACCTTTTTGTGCTGGCGATAAGGTGCCTGACTCAGAGAGTATGGGTTCCAATCCCGGATGGGACTCAACCCAATAAGAACTAGAGTGAGTGAGTGAGTTTGATTTTACGCAGCTTTTAGCAATATTCCAGCAATATCACGCGGGGGACACCAGAAATGGGCTTCACACATTTTACCCATGAGGGGAATCGAACCTGGGCCTTCGGCGTGACGAGCGAACGCTTTACCCACTAGGCTACCCCACTGCCCCAATAAGAACTAGAATCTGTACTTAACTGAGAAAGTGTATTCCTAAATATAACATATGTTCTAAATGGCACTGTGTATTCATATATGGCAAATATCCATGTTCCACTATGAGATATTTTTGTCCCAGGTGCCGACTATAGCTGTGCTTGGTTCCGGGGGAGGTTTCCGTGCAATGTCCGCAATGTGTGGGGTGATGAGTGCTCTAGTCGACAGCCAGGTGCTAGATATGGTATCCTATGTTGCGGGTCTCTCTGGGTCAGCCTGGTAAGTACCAATAAGTATACTGGACAGAAAAAAGTTAAAGCTTAGATGCAACCAACAAAATAAACATAATTAAAACACAATTATCATTTATTCATGACATATAATGTACATTGCTGATTATGAAAAAAACAAATAAACAAAATTATAAGCTTACAGTTGCAAATCAAAGGTGTAATATTTTGTACTTGGGTTTACTACCCTCGAAAAGAAGCACCCAGGATACCGAACCCAGTCAGAGCAGGTGAGCATGCACTTAAGTGTAACAAAGGCTTTCATTGGCTGGTTCATGTGCTGATATGCTCAGGGCTCTTTGTGTGTGTATAGGCATCGCAGTTCAAGCCACGCGAACCTATTCACTGCGCACCAAGGAAGTCTTATACCCGTCAAAAAGTAATGAACCAGTGTGGTGAAGTGAGGTGAATGGGGTTTAACATCATACTTGAGAATATTTCGCTCATATGATGATGTGCATGTGTGTGTATATGTGGCTGCTTGTACTAGCCCAGACAAGCTGGTTTTATAGTGCAAGGTCACTGAGATACCATGCTGCAGTTAAGCATGAATACCCCACTCAGACACATTATACTGACTTCGAGCCGACCAATCCTTGTTGTACCCAGTAATGCCAAACGCCAGGCAGGGACCAACAAGTACCATATTTTAACGTGTTTTGGTATGATGCGGGATCAAACCCTTGAGCTTCCGCTCTCCGGACGGACGCTAGGCCCATGTGAATTCCTAAGGTAGTTCTGGGTTAGAATTGGTCGTCAGTAACCCATGCTTGTCGTAAGAGGCAACTAACATTATCGGGTGGTCAAGCTCACAGACTGGTTGACACATGTCATCGTATCTCAATTGTGTAGATCGATGCGCATGCTGTTTATCACTGGATTGTCTGGTCCAGACCTAATTATTTACCGACCACTGCCTTATAGCTGGAATATGGCAGTCTGCGGCGTAAAATTGCACTCACTCACTCACTCACTCACTGTCTGTCATCCCCCGCCACAAAGTGGGAGTTTGAGCTCTGTCCGTCCGTCCGTCCAAGATGATGGGGACAGATTTTCTCAAAAACCGTTATAGACAGGGAATCCAAATTTGGTATGTGTTTTCAGGATAAGAATGCCTGGATGGAGTTCGAAAATGGAAACCGTGTTTTGATTCTTTACAGAGTTATGGTCCTTGTCATGTGTTTCTTGACTTAGTGCACGGTATCCCCGATGGGGACATATTTTCTCAGAAACTGTTATAGATAAGGAAACCAATATTTGTGGTATGTGTTTTCAGGACATGAATGGCATGTTTGGTTGTGTCAAAACTCGGATAACTTAAAATGTTTACATAAGTCCCTTCAACTTCAAAACCATGATACCCGTGAATGTCCAGGTTGGAATGAACCTTCAGTAACCCATGCTTGTCATAAGAGGCAACTAACGGGATCGGGTGGTCAGGCTCGCTGGCTTGGTTGACACATGTCATCGTATCCCAGTTGTGTAAATTGATGCTCTTGATGTTGATCACTGGATTGTCTGGTCCAGACTCGATTATTACAGACTCCGCCATATAGCTGGAATATTGCTGAGTGTGGCATAAAACTAAACTCACTCACTCAACACCATTTTATGTGATTATTGATACCTGTACTTGCCAATCCTTGCAATGAAACTACACAAATGGATTATTCAATTGTAATAGTGACATTACCCTTGATTGTCCAGGTTGTCTCCATGTTTTTGTAATAATCCAACGTATCTTAACTTTGAGCCTCACATGAATTACCGACTAGCTGTCAAGGGAAATTACTGGAACAGTATTTTAAAATTTAGAGCGAGCGAGTGAGTTTCTGGTTAAAGCGTTCCCTTGTCACACAGAAGACCAGGTTCGATTTCCCACATGGGTACAAGCCCATTTCTGGTGTCCCCAGCCGTGATATTGCTGGAATATTGCTAAAAGCATCGTAAAACCATACTCACTCACTCACTCCTACTGTTATATATAAGTTGCTGTCAGTACTCTACATGACATCTCTGCTGCCAGGTACATCTCCCAGCTCTACTCTCACCCCGATTGGCCAAGAAAAACACCCAATCAGTTGAAAGAGGAACTGAAACAGAATATCCAGTCCAGTCCGTTCTGGCTGCTCAACCCACAGAGTATGTACCGCTACATCCGACGCATCATGGAGAAGAGGCGGCACGGACAGCCTGTGTCATTCACCGACTTCTTCGGCCACCTTGTGGGAGAGACGTTGCTCAAAGGGGTAGGTTCTGCAGTGTGTGAGACTGCCTTAATTCATGCAGGACTGTTATATAGTTTGACTGTGTGATGTTGTGAGACAAACACTAACATTGCGTGTCTGGTGTGTGATTCTGTAATGTTGTGTGACTAACACTATGTAACATTGTGCAACAAGCAGTAACATTGTGACTGTAACATTGTGCAACAAGCAGTAACATTGTGTGACTGTAATATTGTGCAACAAGCAGTAATGCTGTGTGACTAATATTGTGCAACAAGCAGTAACATTGTGTGACAAGTAATATTGTGCAACAAGCAGTAATGTGATGTGTGACTAATATTGTGCAACAAGCAGTAATGTTGTGTGATTGTGCAACAAGCAACAAACTGTAACGATGTGATTGTGATATTATGTGACAAACTGTAACATTGTGTGATTGTGATATTATGTGCGACAAACCCGTAACATTGTGTGACTGATATTGTGTGTTAACAATGACTGTAACATTGTGTGATTGTGATATTATGTGACAAACCGTAATATTGTGTAACAAACAGAAATGCTGTGTGACTGTGATATTGTGTGACAAACCGTAACATTGTGTGATTGTGATATTATGTGACAAACCGTAACATTGTGTGATTGTGATGTTATGTGACAAACCGTAACATTGTGTGATTGTGATATTATGTGACAAACCGTAACATTGTGTGATTGTGATATTATGTGACAAACCGTAACATTGTGATTGACAAACCGTAACATTGTGTGATTGTGATATTATGTGACAAACCGTAACATTGTGTGATTGTGATGTTATGTGACAAACTGTTACATTGTGTGACTTAGTGATTTGTAACAAACAGTAATAAAAGTGTGATAAACTTAACTTCCTGTTACATCTGTAACCACCTGTAATGTGACTCCCTATAACATACCCAGCATCTGTGTAATGTGTGTGACTCCCTGTAGTGTGTGTGACTATCTGTGTACAGAGGCTGGACACCAGGTTAACAGACCAGCAGCACAGACTCCAGTCTGGGGAGATCCCCATGCCTCTCTACACCTGCCTCCATGTCAAGAAGCATGTGTCCGCCATGATCTTCCACGGTAAGACAAGCTAGCTCCCTTTCCATCCCTCTATGATCTGCCCTTACCTTCCACAGTAAGGACCGCTAGCTCCCTATCCATTCTTCTGTACACCTGTCCCCATGTCAGGAAGCATGTGTTCACTAGGACTTTCCATGGTAAGACCCGCTAGATCCCTGTCCATCCCCCTATGATCTGTCCGTGATCTTCCATGGTAAGACAACCACCTGGAAGAGCGGAAGGCAGGTCGCGGGTTCATTCCCGACTGTCCCGACATTGTCATATGAGTGAAATATCCTCAAGCACAACGTTAAACTCAATTTCACCTCACCTCACGATGGTAAGACCCACTAGCTCCCTGTCCATCTCTATATGATCTGTCCATGATCTTCCACAGTAAGACCTGCTAGTTCCCTGTGCATCCCTCTATGATCTGTCCATGGTAAGACCAGCTGTCTCCCTGTCCATCCCTCTATGATCTGTCCATGATCTTCCCCCGCTTATGATCTGTCCCCTCTATGATCTGTCCATGATCTTCCACGGTAAGACCCACTAGCTCCCTGTACATCCCCCTATGATCTGTCCATGATGTTACCACGATAAGACCCGCTATAGCTCCCTGTGCATCCCTCTATGATCTGTCCATGATCTTCCACGGATAAGACCCGCTATAGCTCCCTGTGCATCCCTCTATGATCTGTCCATGATCTTCCACGGTTAGACCCACAAGCTCCCTGTCCATCCCCCTATGATCTGTCCATGATCTTCACGGTAAGACCAGCTAGCTCCCTGTCCATCCCTCTATGATCTGGACATGATCTTCCAGGTAAAGACCCAATTTTTAGCTCCCTGTCCATCCCTTATGATCTGTCCATATTCTCCAAGCCACGGTAAAGCCCAATCAGCTTGTCCATTCTATGATCTGTCCACCAAACTCAAATTCCTGTTCACTATGTGCTTGAGTGTTCATACCTCTATTCGCTCCCTGTCCATCCCCCTATGATCTGTCCATGATGTTCCACGGTAAGACCAGCTAGCTCCCTGTTCATACCTCTGTACACCTGTCTCCATGTCAAGATCTTTGTCTTTGCCTCTCAATACATGCTATTGACTGCTGTTCTGGTGTGGATACATTATCAGTTTAATCATTTGCTGCCGCTGACTATTACTACAAGTATGTTTGCAGTGTTTTCTACAGTCACTAACATTACCTACACTTAACAATGTGGTTTGGCTGAATGTGTATCGACTGTGTATCATTATTCTCATTCTCTTGTGTGGGACCGTCGGAGTAGCCTTGTAGTTAAAGCATCTGCTCGTTACGCTGAAGACACGGGTTCGATTCCCCAAATCGGTACAATTTGTAAGGCCCACTTCTGGTATCCCCTGTCGTGATATTGCTGGAATATTGCTAAAAGTGGCGTAAAACCATACTCACTCACTTGCTCTACAGATTGGATCAGAGCACTACATTGTTTCCTCTAGTCAAAGGATCAGTGTACGTCTTCTTTGCCATCAATCCATCCATTTCTTTCATTCTCAGCTCCCTGAGGAGTATACAACCCATGCTGCCTGTACGGCACTAGAAGGGTAATAGTCACATTGGCAGCTCATCCTATCGGGTACCCATTTACTGCTAAGTAAAACATGCCTATTTTGAACAAATTCACACCGGAGGTGACCGCATGTGGTTTAGTGTAGGGCAGGATTGGTTGGTTGGTTGGCTGGTTGTTTTTTTTAAGGCCGCACTTCGCAATATCCCAGCTGTATCACTCACTCACGCATGAACGCACACACGCATGAACGCATGCACTCACTCATTCATGTTATGGAACATTGTGAAAAGCAACATATATTACCCATCAAAAGTTTAGACTCACTTGAAGCACTCACTACATGTTATGTATAATATATGTATGGTTACATCGAAGATGAATTTCTCCACTTACTTGCGGGAACCAACTGCAAACCCTTTTGCATCAAATTGCTGCAAAGCATGTGAAAATAGGAACAGCTGCATTTTGGTGTAAAGTTTTGTTAAGAATTCACCAATTTTCACTGAGTTTCATCATTTATTGAACTCATGGCAATAATCTTTTCAACGTTTACGAATCTGTTTTACAATAAATCAGTTCATGTATAAACAGTACATTCAAATATTGGAATATTTGGCAAAGACTAGTTTAGAACAGTTGACTGAAGTAAGTGGCTACATTTACACTAGTGAGGCTAAACCTTTGATTGGTAATATAGAACCCAACTCACTCACTCTTATGGTCCACTTAACTGAACATTAAGAGAATATGAGGGGTCAAAAACATTGTTTTTATATAACAAAAGGAGTGAATGAGGGAGTTTCATCATATAGAGATTAAAAATAAAAGTAATTTCTTATTTTTAAAGTAACATAATTATTGGAGGTAAGCAAAATGTTTATGTATAATTTTGGAGAGATTCCTGAGTTGTTGATAATGAAGATGTGTGTTTTCAGAGTGGATGGAGTTCTCGCCGTATGAGATCGGGATGCCAAAGTATGCGACGTTCATGAGGCCGGAGTTGTTTGGGAGCAAGTTCTTCATGGGTCAGCTGGTAAAGAAGTACCCAGAACCCCCGCTGCACTTCCTTCAAGGTCAGTGACTTAGCCAACCCCTGACATATGGAATTCTTAGCTGCTTTAGGGGCGATTACAGGGGTAGTCTAGTGGTTAAAGTGTTCACTCGTGACACTGAAGACCTGGGTTTGATTCCCCACATTAGTACAATTTGTGAAGCCCAGTTCTGGTGTCCCCCGCTGTGATATTGCTGAAATATTGCTGAAAGTGGCGTAACTCTTTACTGCTTTCTATTTTTTGTTAATTATTATGTTGCTAAAACATGTAATACTGGGTGGGGAAGGGGACTAGGATTTCGAGACTAGATATTGTTTCAGCCACTTATGCAAAGCCAGATGTTTATTTATTGAAGGAACGAATCTTCATAAAATAATTAAATCATGGTTATCCCATAACATTTTTGTGGCGAACATTTTTTTGGTTTTCAATAGGCTGATTGAGGGGTTTTTTTTTCAAACACTTTCTATTTCAATGATTTTTTTTCTGCCATCATGAAAAAAATTATCAAAACAAAAGACACATGTAACAATGATACTGTATCACAGTGAGACGTATCATTTCTACAACTATATATCATTTTGTGGTGATGTTAGTGTATCTCACAAATTTCCTTACTCACACATTCATGTTGTTATTAGTATGTTGTGTTTGTCCATAACATCCATGGAGTTGTCTCCCCTGTAGGTATCTGATGCAGTGTCTTCTGCCTGTACGATCTATATTTGTATGTTGTACTTGGTCCATGTAAAACCCATACCAATGGAGTTATCTCCCCCTGCAGGTATCTGGGGCAGTGTCTCCTGCCTGTGCGATCTATATTTCCATGTTGTACTGGTCCATGTAAAACCCATACCAATGGAGTTATCTCCCCCTGCAGGTATCTGGGGCAGTGTCTCCTGCCTGTGCGATCTATATTTCCATGTTGTACTGGTCCATGTAAAACCCATACCAATGGAGTTATCTCCCCCTGCAGGTATCTGGGGCAGTGTCTTCTGCCTGTACGATCTATATTTCCATGTTGTACTGGTCCATGTAAAACCCATACCAATGGAGTTATCTCCCCCTGCAGGTATCTGGGGCAGTGTCTCCTGCCTGTGCGATCTATATTTCCATGTTGTACTGGTCCATGTAAAACCCATACCAACGGAGTTATCTCCCCCTGCAGGTATCTTGTGCAATGTCTCCTGCCTGTGCGATCTATATTTCCATGTTTTACTGGTCCATGTAAAACCCATACCTATGGAGTTATCTCCCCTTGCAGGTATCTGGGGCAGTGTTTCCTGCCTGTGCGATCTATATTTCCATGTTGTACTGGTCCATGTAAAACCCATACCAATGGAGTTATCTCCCCCTGCAGGTATCTGGGGCAGTGCCTTCTGTATACAGTTCAAGCGTCTCCTGCAGGACGACAAGCAGGTGGATGCAGTGGAACTCATGAGGCGAGAGAGGGAGGAGCTAGGTAAGAGTTGTCTCCCCTTATACTCATTACAGCTTCATCATGACAATTGCAAAGTTTATTTCATTACAGACTCAACATTCATAACAGTGCTTGGAGGGAAAATTTGAGGTGGTAGTAGAAGGATCAGGAGGATCGCATTTTGTTGATATACATTTCACTCTGATTAAAACTGCAAAAATTGAGAAAACCCAGGAAGTTGGGTAACAGTTGTGTTTTTTTCCATTGTGCTTCAGCAGTTACAGCTCAGGGGCGGTGGGGTAGTCTAGTGGTTAAAGCATTGGCTCGTCAAGCCGAAGACCCGGGTTGGAATCCCCACATGGGTACAATGAGTGAAGCCCATTTCTGGTGTCCCCCACCGTGATATTGCTGGAATATTGCTAAAAGTGGCATTAAACCATGCTAACTGAACTCCCTCACAGATTATCAAACCAATGTCACAGATACAGTATTTTTCAATAGTTTTAACTTTAACAGCATAAAGAAAGTCTCCCTTATTTGTTTCACTGCTCTTTCAAAGCAGTAAAAATGTGTGTTATTTCAATATTATACATTTCCTTCCGTTGGAGAAGAGTTGCATGTGTCTTTTTGTTCATTCGAGAAATTGATCAGATACATGATGAAAATGCATTTAAACTAAGAAATTTAAAGAAGTGATTTGTTTTTATTACACTGTATTGTATATGATTTTGCAGAAAAGGAACTTCAACAAGATATGGACGACCAGTCCGATGAGGACAGTGACACAAGTGATCCCGAGTCCGAGATGGACACACCAGCAAAGTCCAATACGAAGACAACCAAGACGCCGCTAAGGAAACCCTCTCTACGAAAAACAAAGTCGGGTGAGAAGAGTCAGAAGTCGTTCTGGTCCGGGATGCTGGAGAGTTTGTTTGACTCGGCGTTGTTCCAGTCCATTGAAGGTCGGGCAGCCATGGTCCACAACTTCATGAGAGGCCTGTCCTTGTCCAATGTCTACCCATACTCCCCTTTTGATGCCTCCACTACCGTCAACAAAGAAGGTTGGTTTGTTGCCATGAAGAGTCCATGGCAGTAGTCTGGACTCTGGGACAGTCTAGGTTCCCTGTAGTCTGCTCTATGCTTGGACTCTGTGACAGTCTAGGTTCCCTGTAGTCTGCTCTATGCTTGGACTCTGTGACAGTCTAGGTTCCCTGTAGTCTGCTCTATGCTTGGACTCTGTGACAGTCTATGTTCCCTGTAGTCTGCCTCTATTTCCCACCACACTCTGTGACAGTCTTTGTTTCCCTGTAGTCTGCTCCTGTAGTGGACAGTCTTTGTAGTTTTCTTTGTATTGACTAATTAGGGCTATTGAACAATAGCCTGACAGACAGGAATGCATAATTGATTAATGTTAGCACAAGTCTAGACAACAATCATGTTTAGGGAACAACTTAATGTTTATGGTAAAACTTCAGGAAGAATTTGTTGGTCCAGGATTTACAGTAACATATTTTGATTTTTCAAACAGCTAACAGACTACCTACCTCTGAAACATCCAATGTGTACAGTTAGTACACAATGCCATGCATCAACCTAGTCAGCAAGTCTGACCATTTAATTCCATTTGTCAATTCTTGCAACAAATATGGGTTGTCACTATTGACTCACTAATCTCTTTTAATCAACAGACCAGTTTGATGGTATATTTGAGATGTATCCAACCCACATCAAGAAGTTGTACGTCGTTGACGGGGGACTGACATTCAACTCCCCGTTCCCTCCGATGCTCCGCCCACAGAGAGGGGTAGATCTTCTGCTGTCCTTCGACTTCAGTGCCAGACCCAGCGACTCCACACCACCATTCAAGGTACCCTCACCTGGCCTCTCATGGTATTCAGTCTGTAGCATCAAAGACCATGTCACATTTGCCACCATAATTTCACCTTGGAATTTTCACAATTTCCATCATGCTAACTACTAACTTATGACAGGTTTTCCCAAACTCATGAGTGTAAGGGGTGGTGGGGTAGCCTACTGGTTAAGGTGATCGCTCGTCACACCAAAGACCCTGATTTGATTCCTCACATGGGTACAATGTGTGAAGCCCATTTCCGGTGTCCCCCCGCCATAATATAATAACATGTTTTATTAATGATGTGTGTGTTTTTGCAATCTCCCCACACCTCTCTTGTGTATGGGGGTGGTGAGGTAGCCTCGTGGTTAAGGTGATCACTAATCATACCGAAGACCCAGGTTCAACTCCCCACATGGGTACAATGTGTGAAGCCTATTTCTGCCATAATATTGCTGGAATATTACTAAAAGCAGCATAAAACCATACTCATTTGTGAATGAAATTTGATTGAATTATGTACATTTTGAGGTATATTATTGTATTTGGTCAAGTATGAAGCTATGGTCAAAATGAGTCCAGGGTTCATCCAAATATCATTTAATGATCATAATCAGATTGCAATCATTTTTGACTGAATTCCTGCTTCAGCATTTATCATTTGTTGTTTAAAACAAAATTAATATTACTTCAGCAATAAAATACATAAAGAAAAACAAAAACCTAAATGCTGACCTATTTTTAGCATTATATTGATTGAATCAAATTAATCAAAGTTATGATAGTGACTAAATGCTGGGTATCATGGTTTTCATACAATGTGTGTTTGTTGTTTACCACCATTAAGATTAAATGATTAAATCCTGACCACACAATAGGATATCCAGTAGATTTGGTTGGTTGGTTTGTCGTTTTATGCGCAGTCAGCAATATTCCAGCTATATGGAGGTGGTCTGTAAACAATCAAGTCTGGACCAGAAAATCCGGTGATTAACACCATGAGCATCGATCTACACAAATGTGATACGATGACATATCAACCAAGCCATTAGTTGCCTCTTACGACAAGCAGGGGTTACTGAACACCAATTCTAACCCAGATCTTCACGGGTCCAATCCAGTGGAGAAGCTCAATCTGACATACATAAGTGTTTTTGAATCTCTGTAGGACATTGCTGTTTACCATGTTTATTTGTCAGGAACTGCTGCTGGCTGAGAAATGGGCTCGGCTGAATCAGGTCCCGTTCCCCCCGATTGACCCGTCAGTGGTGGACCGGGAGGGACTGAAGGAGTGCTATGTGTTCAAGGATCCAAAGGACCCTCACTGCCCCGTGGTGCTGCACTTCTGTCTCGTTAACATCACCTTCCGCGATGAGAAGATGCCAGGTAGGTTCTTGTCATCACTTTCTGGGTGGTGATGCTAGATAGGTCCTTAACATCACTTTCTGGACGGAGATGCTTGATAGGTCCTTAACATCACTTTCTGGACGGAGATGCTTGATAGGCCCTTAACATCACTTTCTGGACAGAGATGATAGATAGGTCCTTAACATCACTCCCTGGACGGAGATGCTTGTTAGGTCCTTAACATCACTTTCTGGACAGAGATGCTTCATAGGCCTTTAACATCACTTCTGGGTGGTGATGCTAGATAGGTCCTTAACATCACTTTCTGGGTGGTGATGCTTGATAGGTCCTTAACATCACTTTCTGGATGGTGATGCTTGATAGGTCCTTAACATCACTTTCTGGATGGTGATGCTAGATAGGTCCTTAACATCACTCTCTGGATGGTGATGCTAGATAGGCCCTTAACATCACTTCTGGATGGTGATGCTAGATAGGTTCCTAACATCATTTTCTGGATGGAGATGCTTGATAGGTCCTTAACATCACTTTCTGGATGGTGATGCTTGATAGGTCCCTAGCATCATTCTGGATGGTGATGCTTGATGGGTCCTTAAAATCACTTTCTGGACGGAGATGCTTGATAGGTCCTTAAAATCACTTTCTGAGCTGAGGTGTTAGATAGGTCCTTAACATCACTTTCTGGATGGAGATGCTTGATAGGTCCTTAACATCACTTTCTGGATGGTGATGCTTGATAGGTCCCTAGCATCATTCTGGATGGTGATGCTTGATCTGTCCTTAAAATCACTTTCTGGACGGAGATGCTTGATAGATTCCTAGCATCACTTTCTGACCTGAGATGTTAGATTGGTCGTTAACATCACTTTTGAGCTGAGATGCTAGATAGGTCATTAACATCACTTTCTGGATGGTGTTGCTGGATAGGTCCTTAACATCACTTTTCAGGTGAAATGTTAGATCATTTCACTGGATGGATGGTGATGCTGGATAGGTCCTTAACATCACTTTTCAGGTGAAAATGTTAGATATGTCATTAACATTCCCTTCAGGGATGGGGAGATCCCCGCTGGTTTGTTAACATCACTTTCAGGATTGTGCCAAATTAGGAATATTTCTTTTTATTTTGCAACATTTTGTCCTATGCAATATAGCCTCTTCTTAATTCAAAGTGGTCAATTTTTACTGACATTACCTGCTGACATGGGTCTGAATTTTGCTTTCAATAATCCTTCTTCAAATTGATTTGATTTTCTCCTCAAGGAATTCCTCGAGAAACAGAGGAGGAGAAGGACTTTGCTGACTTTGACCTGTTTGATGACCCTGAACGACCTTACTCAACCTTCAATTTCAAGTATACAAACAAATCCTTTGACCGTCTGACAAAGCTTACCGAGTTCAACACCCTAATGCACAAGGATCTGGTTTTGGAGCACATCAAGAGCTGCATCAAAGTGAGGCGGAGACATAGCATCCGACGACCAATCAAATTGAAGGACATTAAGAAACTTGGTCTGAAGGACAAAAACAAGGTTGAAAAGCTGGAGGCATTTATACGATCTTTGGATCAGGACGAACCACCGATATGTTGAGGATGATGCAGTTATAGCAGTCTTATCTTGTTCTTGGCAATAGATTTTATACAAGAATCAGATTATATTCAAACTGATAGCTGCTGACAAAGAAGTAGCAGTACTTTCATAAAGGCAATCTAAGCCTTTTATTGCACACAGGTTAGTCAGAGAGTTATCTCCCTTTTGTTGCTTCATTTATGAGATACTAGTTGTCTCTCTTCTGTTTCTGCATTTAAGCAAGATAATTATGTCCCTTTTGTGACTGCGTTTTCTCACTTATGTTTCTGCATTTACAAAGACAAGAGTTACCTCCCTTATATATTGGAACCTTGGTGTATTTTATGTCATTCGGGCCTTTCCGTAACACCCTGCCATGCAGAGCCTTGAATTCAAAGCATCAAAGCAGAAAAATATATGTAATGGCATTTAATTTAATGAAAAAGACATTCCTAATTATGGAAGAGTGCCAGCTGACAATGCCTTACACATGTGAATCTGTCTGCTGCTGTTTACACTGGAGTAGATTCTCACAGATTAATTTGTCACCATACAAAATATGTTGTATTGATAAACATGATGAATCAGATTGCCCCTCTCCATTTGTTTTGTATGGATAATTGAGGTACCTATGATGACCACAGTGTAATTGTATTGTATAAATGAGGTAATTCAATTAATTCACCATTGAAATGCTGTTCAAAATGGTATTATACCCAACTTTTCCTGACTCATTTTGAAAAAAATATACCACAGATAATCTCACTGTTGTATCTCTAGGTGCGAACTGTCTCAAGAAATCAGCTGAAGGAAATCATACAGATAAGATGTATTTATTTCATAGTAAGGATTTTTGTCCTTTGATAAAATATGTAGAAATTATCTTTGTAAAGTTGGGTTTTTGTTTCCGTATCCTGAGCTCCCTGTGTATAATAATCATATCTATCATCCCTAAACCATGACTAGCGTTGTCATTCAAGCCTCCGACAGGATTCATATTTCTCTCACATCGCCATGGACACAGGCATTCCAGCCCGTACATTCTATAAAATTAAAATGTAGCACTTATCTTGGTTGTTCTTATATTCCTTCCACGAAACCATGATTATGAAATCAGATATTCATCCTTTCACATTTTATGTGTCTAACAACTGCTGTAAATGTCAATCTGTTATTGTGCATGAAAATATTCCATTAATGTTGCTTTCAGCTTTCATCACACTTAGAATGACATGATAATTTATATGTGTGTTTCCATGGTCACAGTACAATCTGTATTCTGTGTATTTGATGTATCAAACATATATTTCATCAGCTTCAGACATGTTGTTCATGTTGATTTTTATCAATTTTACAATTTTCTACTAGATGTTGTACATATGTTTTGACTGCTCAGGGCTTAATTTGGATGATTGGTTGTTAGGAATGTAGCAGCTTTTCCCTGAAAAGGATGTACCATATATTACTGTAGATAAGCCGACCCCCTAACTTGACCCTTAAAATCAGTATCAAAATGGTATGTTTCGTACATAAGCCGCCCCCCCCACGATGAGGTCCTAATCGCGGCCAACTCAGACCACAAAACAGCTGTCAGTGACCAATAGTTATAACTTCAGTCTGCATTATTTACAGAAATCACAATCATATTGCGTCTACTCACGCCTTAAAATTTATTGTACTTGACAGAAAATGGATACGCATACATATATATTGTTTTGCTGAATTATATATTTATTGTAGCTGGACGATCACATGTCAGCAAACTGCCATGTTTATTTCACCTCATTCCATGCGCATACAACTTCCACTTACCATGTTCGTGAGGGTACGCTTTTCGTCGATAAGCCGACCCCTTTCTACAGGCTGCTTTTGTTGGTCTTCAAAATTTGGCTTATCTACGGTAATATATGGTATGTTGCAGTGAGGTGGGGACCTGTAACCTAGAATCCCCACAGGGGCCAAGGATGTAGTTAGTTGAGTTTTGTTGTCTGTCAGTTTCCATGAGTGCCTTAGTAGAAGTCAAGAGTGGTAGACTAGAACTTCAGTTGCAGCATCTAATTAGTACCCAATATTAGGTGATGTCATATTAAAGGACGAAGATATGGTAAACTCCGTTTTTAACGAACATGCTTAAAATGAACCAATTGTTTAGTCTCGGCCACTTTCTATATGATTTAGTTGAAATGTGTAAAATGAACTATGGTTGTAACAAACTTTAGTTAGTGGTCCTTTTGGGTTGATTCTAACTGTAGTTTACTGTATGTGTATAGCAACACCAGTTGTCTCCCCTTTGTCAGACCTTGGCCTCGAGCATTCGTCACCATTCGCCCCTTTCCGTAAACTCCGAGAAGACTCGTCCCCCTCTTGATGCTTATTATGTCTGAAAATACGACAAACCAATCAGAACGCGCGTACATGACCGCGGTGCTTTGATAAAAAAAATCCTGAGTACTTAAATCGTTTATGGCATTATGTCATTGTTTAAAAAATCATGAACAATATATATCGCCATATTGAAAGTACAAAGAACGTAGCTAACAGGATTTTGCTGCCTATTATTAAGTTTTTAATAAGAATCATGCGATTGACGGTGAGAGATTCAAAAACACGCATGTGCGTTAGTTGACATAATGGCTCTCATGGGTCCAACTGAGTGTATATCTGACGATCTTGCGGGCTTGTTATGGAGATTGTACGTGCGCTTCCAACAATTTTAGGAAATGTAATTACAAATGTTTCAAAACAATAATATTATATTTGTATGTAACTAATCAATTTTAATCTCAAACATTGGGCTTATATTTCACATCTCTTGGGATATTTTAGTCTGACTATTTTTTTGGTCATTCATATTTTTTTCAGCAAATTCATTTAAAATTCCACCAGGGGTATGACAGCAAGATTACACGAATGTTCAGTTTGAGAAATATATTAAAGTCATTCTTGAGTATGTGCTTTGGGATTTAATGTAGCTGAAATTTTTAAACTTTTATTGGCATATTCAATACAACAATTCCCCGTTGTGATTAGTAAACCGTAATTGGTAATATAAGGTTCACAGCTGGTAATAATTACATGAGAATATGTCTTTAACAAATATGTTTTTCTCCTTCTTTTAGTAGTATCAAAGAGGTTTAATTCTTTAAAATAAATAAGTAAACAAACCCCCAAAACAACAACCTAGCAATACAATGTACATGTGCTTCGGTGATAATTAAGCAACATTGGAATCAAACAGGGATAGAGTTATCGTTCTTGTTTAAAGTAGTTCCAATGTTCATGCGCCAATATGAAATCCTTCCAGAGGGGCACGAGTCGCTATTCGGCTTGTCCCGGAATAACACGAGTTGGTCACGAATGGGCCTCGAGGTGCCTCTTTTTGGGGTCATCTCTGTATTCAGTGTTTCTCTTTATCCTGATATTTGTTGGACTTGATTATTTCCATGGAAACCAGCCTGATCAACAACGTATCACATGTTCATTTCACAATCGTTAGACATACATTCCAACTGGTTGCTGCGGTTCACGTTCATTGGTCATGGAGGACAATATATCGTGGATTGGTCTTGGAGTAGGAAGTGATGTAATACCCTGGTTCAGTCATGTGATGTCATGGATGTATTGGCCATGTCATGGTTTTGACGGTTATGGACTTGGTACATGTTGTGGCTTGGACACAAGTCGTGGATTAGGTATCTCATAGATTGAGTACGTCACAGATCAGATACATCATGGATTGGTCACAAGTCATGGATTGTTGTTGATTGACATGAAATACACAATGTCATTTAGAAAGTGGTCAAATGTAACATGTTATATTTGGGATTACACTTTCTTTGTAAAGTGGGCGGTGGGGTAGCCTAGTGGTTATAGCGTCCGCTCGCCACGCTGAAGACCCGGGTTCGAATCCCCACGTGGGTACAATGTGTGAAGCCTATTTCAGGTGTCCCCCGCTGTGTTGTTGCTGGAATATTGCTAAAAGCGGCGTAAAACTAAAACTCAGTCAGTCAGTCAGTCTTTGTAAAGTACAGATTGGTGATTGACATATCTTGGATCAGATGCAGGTCTTGATTGGTAGCATCATGGATTTTCATGTCGATTTTTGTCCATGTTATTGATTGAGTACACTTTATAAATTGGAGTGAGTGAGTTTGGTTTTACGCCGCTTTTAGCAATATTCCAGCAATATCACGGCAGGGGACACCAGAAATGGGCTTCACACATTGTACCCATGTGGGGAATCGAACCCGGGTCTTCGGCGTGACGAGTGGACGCTTTAACCACTAGGCTACCCCACCGCCCCCTTATAAGTTGGAGTGAAAGTAGTCCTACTTAAATCTGTTCATACCATGTTGTTCTCCTACATGCTGGCTGGCCTCACTGGAACAGTGTATGTTTTATCTGTGCTGACTAAGGTCAATTGTGATTCTCTACAACATTGTGATCCATTAATGTGCTTCAGTCATTGTTATTATGTAATGTCATTACATTTCCTGTGATACAATTTGTATAGTGATATTTCTATTGACTGTAATTATGTATCATGTTTATGTATATCTTTGTGACAGAAATGATTAAATCAAATGATTTTTTGCCCACAGTTTGTGCAACTTTATGTGCAGCTTCAGTTCGTAACTATTTATGGTGAACATGTTATTTTCTCTTGTATTTTCTTTTCTTGGGATACTTCAACCTAACTTATCAGATATGGAATCAAGTTGAATTCTTTCATCAGGGTTTAACCTTGACTTAAAAACTAGGGGTCCAGAGAATCCCATATTGTAATTTCCAGGATCCTTTCTGTAAATATACTGGTCCTGTAAAGTAGTGAAATGGTTTAGCGTATTGTACTGTAAAAGTTTAGAATTACTTTGATTACAAGACGTGTGTACGTGTTAATAATTTGTAAGGTACAGTGAATATCATTGTACATGTTTTGGTATACATATTTGTGAGTACTGGATGCACATTTCTGTGTTGTGTAATCCCCTGTTTTATCTTCCTTCCAAATCTGTAAAATTGAAACATCCTCCCATAATGTCTTCAGGAGCCACACAAAGAAACCCACAAAAACATATTCATCATCCATTGAAGGGGACTTGTACATAAGAAATTAATATACTGCAAACCTGATAATGTTGCAGGTATGTCTTATGCACAGTTTGGTCTGTTTCAGTGAGAATACGTGTTAGGCATTTATAGCAGACAGCATAAAACAGAGTTATCCCCTGAATCTCTTTCATTCAGAAAAACCTTGTTACTGTTAGTGCGAAATAGCACCGGCATGTACCATTTTTTCAACCTCAAGCCACTGGCTAAAAGAGTTAAATTTACATCAAGTACAAAATGTTGAATCCAATGCATGAATAATAAAACCGAAAACTGTCAAGGGACACAACTCTGCACTATTCAAAACCCTGGACCACTAAAAGGAGTAATCTGTCTTGAGCACAGTTTTACTCTTTTTCAAACAATATTTCAGTACTGTTCCAAGTGTAGATGACAAATGACAAGAACCGTTTTCCATACAGAAACAATTTTTTTTATTAAAATGTATGTCTTCTACAATATTGTATTCAGCATGGTTTACAGAGATATTGGCATAAAAAACATAGCAAAATATGACTTGGTTTGGATACAACTTGCACTAAATAAATAACACCAACACAACACTATACACATACTTTTTATAACAAGAGAAACTACCCCTCTATAACGCTAACGTTGCCCTCCCTCACTGTAACACCAGATTTGGGGAGCAGGCCTGCAACAGGCAATGAGTGTGTACAACATTGGGGGACATTTTGACATCCAGATTCATACTACTCAAAAACATTAAGGAATACTATTTCGCCATGATAACTATAGTAATACGACTTGAATGTCCTTAACTTATTTTGAGCAGTATATATCCATGAATGCTTAAGTAAAATATGGGTTAGACATCTTGAAGGTTTTAAGAGATTTTCATGATGAAAGTACATGATATGGACTGAAAAATATGACTAGGTATTTCTGAACGAGATGAATTTTCATTTCAACATTGAACACAAGGTAGAATTAGGATGAGTAATGCTGTCTGTTGCATATCATGTTTTTATAAATATAATTTGGGTTCTTTGACTTGACTGTATTATTATCATATACAAATGTACTCAGGAATGAAACACTATATTTACCCTGATATAAAAACGTTATTTTCCTCAAGTGATATAAAAAGTTGTGCCAGAACTACTTTTTATAACTTTGTAAAGCTATGACTATCCGAGCAAGATGAAGAACAGTAATTTCATAAGACTGAGCATTTGACTTTTTTCGATATAATGTTTATCTAATCTTCTGACACACGGAGTTTTAAGTTTTCACTTTTGGCTGCACAAGGGATGAAAATAACGATGTAACAATTAACTTGACACAGATATGTTTATCTGGCAAGTAAGGACAGATATAGCTAAGAAGGTAGGTTTGGATAATTGGACATCTGGGCCCACTTGCACAAAGCCATCTATGGTGATCTCAACTCCTAAACTCTAACACAGATTTTGACGGTCTTAGCGCTAAGATAGCTTTGTGCACATGGCCCCAGCAATTTCTGAATGCTGTTTGGTCAGTAGGAAGGTTCTAGTAGTAACAATGTTTTACTTTTGAGAAAAATATGTAACATTGTCCATCATGAAATAAAAAAATATTTTGTCATCTGAACTAGGCTGTAGGGTTTTATGAAACTTATTTTCTGAAATTTTCATCATATTGACAATTAAGATGTCAACAATAATAAACAGAATTATCTTCTCAAAACATGGAATTATTTCAGGGTAACACCATTTATGCAGTTGTCATAGATAACATAGCATTCCTCAAACTTGTATATTCTGTGTATCACAACCTCTGCAGCCTGTCAGTGAAACCTAGCTCAAATATTACATCACACTCACAGCTGGTATGCATGAATAAAAGGTCAAAATAAAGGTTCAAGTTCAGAAAACAATTTCTTCAATAACTCTACAGTAAGGAAAAAAACAAGCCTGTCCAATCACAAGATCATTTTAGGAACACTTATAGTGAGTGAGTTTAGTTTTATCGTCGCTTCTAGCAATATTCCAGTAATATCAGGGTGGGGGACACCAGAAATGGGCTTCACACATTGTACCCATGTGGGGAATCGAACCCGAGTCTTTCGTGTGACAAATGGAGGTTTTAACCACTAGGCTACCCCACTGTCCCAGATTACTTTCATCCATAAAATGTAAATAATAAGCAGCCCTTTAAATTAATGAAAATGATATTCAATGTACATTTTTTTCTAATCTCATATTTTTAGGTTACCTACTTTTCCGATCATGTCGCAGGCTCTTATGTCACAACCTCAATACCCCAAAAAACTTCGTGAATATCTGTTTGAAATAATGACAAGTTTGCTAAAATGATCAGTCAGACAATCAGTAGAAAACATAACTGGTTAAGCTAAAGCTGGGCACACAGTATACGCCATATTTACATGCAAAGCACTTCTGTCAGCCCTGCTGGGAATAGTTAAAAATCGATATTCTTCATGATCTTCTTGTAAAGAATACAAGTAACATCATAACAAAGATAATTCTGTTGGTTCTGGAAACAATTTTTGATGAAATGACAGCATGGCAATGGCAGCATTTTCTCCTTCATACTGTTGTTGCTTGACCTCATATCATTGGGAGTTTCTGAGTGATGAAATGAGCAAAACATCTTCTTTATATTAAAACTGATATATCAAGCACAAACCTTCCCCAATAGCTGTCTCCCAGCTGGTTTCTCAAAGCAGATTAAGTGTTGTTAATATTAGTCAGTATGGCTTTATGCCGCTAATAGCAATATCATGGTGGGGGGCACCAGAAATGGGCCTCACAGAGTGTACCCATGTGGGAAATCAAATCCGGGTCTTTGGTGTGACAAGCCAAAACTTTAACCACGCCTCTGCCCTTATGAGGAATGAGACCTGGATGTCCCTACTGTTTGGTATCAGAGCCCACTTTAAAAAAAGGGATCTTTGGCCAGACCGTTTTCAAAGAGTGATGAAGACATTTTAAGTTCCCTTCGTCCTTCGAAATGCTATCTGAACATGTTGCAAGCAGTATTAGTTAGGCTCATTACTTATCCAGGTTATTGTATTCTGTGCAAAATTGATTTGCCCTGAACATGGTTATTTAGCAAACATCAGTACTTTTCAGACATTGTCAACATCTCATTACGTAATGATTGGTCAACTCTGTAAATTGATTAATAAAATAAAAATGGAAAACTTATACCAGCCTCACCTTAACATTAAGTCAAACAGTATCTGTCCCCTCCCAGCTAAAAACATACAAAGGGGAGAGGAAAGCACAGACGATACCCAAAAAGCCATATTTCCACTGAAGTATGAAGCTTGCCAAAATGATAAAATATATGAACGCAACAACAACAGTCACACACCAGATAAAAGTAAACACATGTATGGCGGTCATTCTGAAGCCAGACATTCTTCTGTAACTAAATCTAACCTGACTTTAACAAGGTGAACAAACAAAGCTTTATGCACTAATTTCACATTCCAGTATTTGTCTCCTTGAAATGAATATTCATGTTGACTGAAAATGTACTAAGGAAAAAAAAAAGAGGGGATTACAAGAAAAATAAGTGTTCCTTTATTTCCCACACCAAAGTTTCTTCACAAACTTTGTATTGCACAACTTTTGAAGAAACCTGGAAAAAGATAAATGGTACACTTGTTCTTTTATGTGATCCCTTTTTTTTCCCCCTCAGTATATATTAAGAGGAAATTAAAATAAAAATACATTATGATAAAAAGTATTATAAATATAATTTTTTTGCATATGCGACCCCAAAGAAAACCTTTTCTCCTTATTGCATTGGTCTATGAAATTTATTTTAAAAAAATATTATTATTTTTTTTTTTAATGTTAAACATTCTCCTGCACTGGTAATTACAGTTATGTTCCCAACAACATCCCTGAGTCCTGTGGTCCCGGAGCTCCGAGATTCACAATGTCTATTCCACAGCGTAGTCCAGCATCAGTCTACAGCTGCTAGCACTAGCAACATTAATTTGATTAAAATAACAGGACACCTCATATACAAATGGTAGTCTTGCATTGGATCTATGGGATACAGGGGATTAAACTACAAGATAACAGTCAAGATCTGGGTTAGAATCAGTCTTTTTAGGAAAAAGGTGGTACCATGTCATTTCTACAACCAACAAAAGTGTGTTCTCACCCATGAAGATCCAAGTTAAAATTGGTCTTCAGCAACCCAGGCTTGATGTAAGAGGCCACTAACGGGATTGGGTGGTGAGGCTAGCAGACTTGGTTGACGAGTCGTCATATCTTGATTGTGTAGATCAATGCTGATGCTGTTGATCACTGGATTGTCTGGTCCAGATTCGATTATTTACAGACTGACTGAGTTTGGTTTTACGCCGCTTTTAGCAATATTCCAGCAACATCACGGCGGGGAACACCAGAAATGGGCTTCACACATTGTACCCTTGTGGGGATTTGAACCCGGGTCTTCGGCGTGACGAGCCAACGCTTTAACCACTAGGCTACCCCACC